CTAGGAGAATTTCTGACTTAGACAGTGGTCAGAATCCTATTCCAAAAATTTCTGTCTTTGAAATTATTCAGAATTTTTATGTGGCGTTCATGGGAGTCATTAGCACCTAAGAATACAATCAGGAGAGACTCACTCGGGCTCCTGAGCTGTCAGCAGCGGAAGTGGCACCAGCAACATAGCTGCCGGACAACAGAGCATGGTATAGAGCAAAATTGACTTTGTGTTTGACTAATGTTTCTTGGCATTTCTGGTAGTAATATGCAAAAAAGACCGTTCCACCATTTTAAATATAACAATGACTGCATATAAATAAAAAACATAACTCGTCAACAAGTACCGTGAGTCATTTTCCAAAAAAAAGAAAAAACGAACTAAGTACGTCAGAATATGGGGAATTTCGTTATTAATGAACAGATGATTTAGTTCGTTGTGTTAGTCGAACTTATCGCTGCCCATTCTGAATTCATTCATACTGCCTACAAACCGAAAAGGTTATTATTTGAGGAAACAAAACCAGAAAATTACAAGCACTTTTCAGGACTGCTACAATCAGATAAATATGAATAAGTTGCAATAGTGACTTTGCAAACTTTCTGAGCTCTACTTTCTCTTTACTAAAAATCCTCAAGTTATTATTTGAGGAAACAAAACCAGATATTACAAGCAATTTTCAGGACTGCTACAATCAGATAAACATGAAGAGGTTGCATTAGTGACTTTGCAAACTTTGTGAGCTCTACTTTCTCTTTACTAAAAATCCTGAATATCGTTAAGTTTTCATAGAGTCCGTCTGCATCTAACTCCTCCGTGATGTCCATCAGACAAAGACCTTGGAAGCAGACGACTGGGCCGAGAGCAGATAAGAAAGCACTTAGCTCAAACACTGCACATAATACAGAGAACATATAATGTAGAGGATATACATTGATGTTAATAAGATGAATTCATATCAAAGAAGTGCCCACTGTTTCTCACCTTTCCGTTTACCTAGCTTCAAGAATTATCGTCGGACTTCTATGATAAATTGACACGGCACCGCCACAGTGAACAAGCAGGATCGAAGGTTGCATGAAACATAGACGAAATAAAGTATAATTAAGATCCTATTCATGAAGTGTTTACGTATGATCCTGAAGTGTTTACGTACTCACAAACTGAACTCTTCAGGAGTCTAGACTTCGCCTGCGATCGCGATGACCATATTGTTACGCAACAAAACGCTTGATAATAGTAGCAATACGTAGCGACAAACCAATTGCAGAATAAGACCACAACTGCAAAACGAACCGCTAAATGCAAGGGAAGTTAGGTTCACACACGATGCAAGTTAAGAATAAATATTCCTCTAGAAATCGTACCGATACTTCTAGCCGTTCAAGTACAGTTGGCCAGAAGTTTCGACATGGCATCTCCAACAACGCGATGTTGCAACCAAAACGTATCGTAAATCTAAATTAGAAAAAAAAACAAATTAATCAATGTAGATCCATTCGTATCAGCGGCGGATTCGAACCTAAGGCACTTATTGAAGTAATATCTGTGACGGCTTTTGCTCTTCTGAAATTTCAAAAGAGTGGAGCTTCCTTGTCCGCATGAGAATTTTCCATACATCTTGGTCATTTACTTTAACCGGAGAACCTAAATAAGATCTGGATTGGCAGCTGACTGCACACGTCTGCGATGAATATACACTCTAATTTCCCAATGTGTACCGAGGCTACTACCTAAAAAGGGAATACTTAGTCTGACGATTCAAAAAGTGATACATACTCATAGGTACAGTTTGAAACGTGATTCCAATCTTCCTATATTTGCGAAGCAATTCTCGGAAGAAGTTACTTACGTTTTCCCCCTTTTAAAAATGGCTTGCAAAGTTTGTGAAAAAATGCCTAAAACCTTTACTTTAACCTAAAAAAGCGGAGCAGCAGGTCAATATTGTTGAAACGACAATTTTATTGATCGTAACTCCTTGCGTCGTTGTTTTGGGTCGAATTCGACATTGTAGGTCATCATCAATTATTAACAGGCCATATAACCATTCAGCAGAGGATAACTTTTGTAACTTCTTCCAGAGAATTCCCTCGCAGATATGAAAAAGATTTGAACTAACTTTCAAACGGCATCTATCAATGCGCATCTCTTCTTGATTTGTCGCTTCAAATAAGTATCCTTCCCTTTTAAGATGAACTATGATATCTACAAAATGGCCCTTAAAAGTCATATTGAGGTGCGTTTAGTCATTATCGCTTGAAAATGAAGATGAAAGATCGTAAAACTAACTAAACAATCTCTTGATGCACACTCATTTGCTGACAGAAACCAGAATGAAATTAGCAAACTGGCAAAGTGATCCCTAAAGGAAAGGATAGTTGATCGAAGCGGCGATTTAAAACGATGTATACTGGCAGATTCAGCTGAACATTGATATATCTGTCTTTCGTAGTTGCAAAATTCTCCTAAAATACCATATGGGCGCTCTATCTTTGTGAAAAATAGTATCAGACATGTTTAATGCCCGGAAGATTTTGACCCAGAAAAGCAATGTAAAACTTGGTTATTGCTGTTTAACGGTTTTCCCAGTAAAAACCCTAGGTGTTGTTTTGATTTTTTTGAAGCAGTTACTAGCACGCGCTGTCATCGAGAAAACTTCTATGATTCTTGAAAAACGCTTGGCAGTTATGAACGGCGATTTCCAAAGCAGTTGTTCCCTGATCTATCAAAGTGTATCTTTTTTTATTAGCCACTTTGGCTAGTTCTCCTTCCCTTGACAACAGCAAAAATTCACGAATCAACATACAGTGGTTCCTTCACTCTCAAGACCTCTTATTTTGTAAACCCATAAGGAGAAAATGAGGTTTTAAGTAAAGAGTCAACGAAAATACCAAAAAATTGGACATCCCATCTATCCGTTAATGGTATTCTAACGCTGCAGACAATTGCATGGATTGCATGACTCGCAAAATTTCAGGCGCAAACTCTCTATTGGTCGGTCCTCATACGGTTCGAGGCTACATTGCGGCATGGTTAAGCATTCGCAGCTTACCGATGTCCACAGCATCGATGGAGACGCGGACGAATCATATCGATTACCGCGTTTGACCTTTCGCCGCCTTCGCGAAAGCTACAACGTTTGATTCGCGTACGTGCCACCCTAGAACTTCTCGCGCGACGAAACGCTGCGAACTCGCTGCGGCGCCAAGCTGGCACAAAGTCAAAATATGCGGTGGCTCATTTGCAAATTCCCAATTATTCTTACTTGGTTCAGACCCTCCCAACATTGGGCAACTATTGTAATCTAGGTGGCACACACTAATTAATTTCTATAGGTGTAACATACAATAATAAAGTATCTTTCAGAGCCCAAGACACTTGTAATCAACAATCACGGGGCTACTACGGGAAAATTACGGGAAGTTTTCATAGACTTGTTTATCGGTGTAGAAAGTTTACAACATTAGGCATACCAACATTAGAAGAGTTCTATGGTAAACGGATAGTAGATATAACAACTGAATTTAGAATATAACTGAATAGAAAAAGAGATCCATAGAATATAACTGAATAGAAAAAGAGATCCACTTGCATTTGACTCACTATCATTCTTTCAGGCAAATTCACTATGTACTACCCTGTAGAGATGTGGGTGCCAGAACCAGAAGAAGAGATCCCTATGCTGGATCTGATGTTCTACAGATCTCTGGACATTCTTACTGACATGCAGCTGACCGTATGTTACCAACTTCTTGCAATGTTGAAATTCCCTCTTTACAAATGTGTCCATATAGTAATCTAATCAAATATTTAGATGGCAAAAATTGAATTGCATGCGTGCATTAAAGAGCAACGTGGCCTACGATCTATGTTCAAACACTTTGCCAGAAGTGCAAGAGATAGAGGCGAAAAGATGGTTGGCGAAGTTTCTAAAGACAAAAACAATCTATGCTTTCTGCACATAGTTAGACATTTCTAGGAGCTCCTGAACCAACATAGAATTACCACACTAAGAACTCTCTTCATGAGATCTCGTCTCTCAAACGTGCAGAAATGCATTAAAGAGCGTATTGCGAAGAGGAACAGAGAAAACAATGAAGTTGCAGACAAGCCTGAAAATGTTGAGGCTTTTGAAGATGATCAAAATGAAAACGGTGAAAACTTGGATGCCAAGAAGGAAGTGGAAAACAAGGGTGGGCAGAACAGTGTTCAGCAGCTCGAGTGAATGATTTCTACAACTTTCTGTCCAACAGATGGACAGTCTGGCATCCACTCAATTATATTACGCGTGAGAGTCCCATACTGATTGAGTTGTGAAAACAATACATACATATTTTTGATGTTATATATGTTACAAAAGTCGTTTACGACTAAAACAAGAAAATATTTTGAGTTATTTATGTTATCTCTCTAGTAGCAGTTGATGAAATATCCGGCTGTTTTCTCTTACAGCATTTATGTTGAGCAAATAAAGTCGTTTTCGACGCAACGTATCAGTCTTTCTTATTTTAACATATAGTAAACTGATGTAATTTTGATGTCACAACAAATAGGTAATCATCCTATAGCAATAACGGGGATTAAGATGACTGTATGCACACATATAACCAGACAGCTTTG